TAGTTAGCAGGAGCTCCGAGTCTTCGTCTAATCTGTTACAGTAAACCTGTGCCAAAGCCTGAAGGGAATCAGTGGGGGCCCTGCAAGGAGTGGGTTTGACGTGGAACCATTTGTGAAGACGAGCGATTCTCTTAAGTAAGAAACTAACAGTGTCCAGAGAGAGAGAGAGCGAGAGCTGGAAGGAGAGAGCAAGTAAGACAAGAGGTGAGGAGAATGAGTGAGAGTATGAGGGAGTGAGAAAAGGAGGAAGAGATACCATAATGAGTCCTGTAGCCATGGAGCAAATGAAGAGGGATTGACAGAGTGAGGGATCCTCAAGTGAAATAATGTCAATGCCACTCTGCCCATTAGAGAGAAAGGGGGGGATGGAGGAGAGAGGGTAAAGAGGGATGAATGGAGGGAACACGACTACATGTGAGGGTGCAGGGGAAGCACATAAATTATTTGTGACACCCACGCAACACACAATCAAACACAGTGCACTAACAAAATATGAAATATGAAACAACAAAACAAACTGACAATAGCAGCTGGGGAAAAAAAAAATAAAACAAATGAAAACAAAAAAAAATATATAAAGGCCTTGGAAATACCCCATAAATTCTCCGAGACGTGAACAACAATAATCACAGTGACATCTGCCTCGCTGCTCTCGGAGGAGATGGGCCGAAGCCGAGAGTGGAAGGGGTTAATCTCCCAAACCCAATAAGGTTGTATAGTGAGGCACTTGTTCCCTGATAAAGAAGTGATAGGATCTGTGGGTCCGGTCCCTGGGCGCTTGTACAGGGGTAGAGCAAATATTGTTAATGTGCTGTGGTTTACTTCGGCTAAGGCGAGAAAAACAGCTCTGCTTGACGAGAGAAGACAGCAGCGAACCAGGATACGACAAAACGCAGCACAAGCTCGGCTCAGCTCAGCTCGGCCTCCCGGGGACTTATCCGGCATGAATATATATTCCACTCAGTTGCATAAATAAGTGTTGGGGTGAGATTAAGATCTATAAGTGTCTCTATTTCTCGTTTTACCTGCTCTGCCTTGTCACAACAGGGATCTGAATGCAGTTCAGTGGAGTGCCTAATAACTGGAGCAGTAGGTAGGGCAAGGCAGGAGGCTTGACATTAAGACCCTGGCGTTTTGGAAATCCGATACGCTATTGACCCGTGTACTACTATCTCAGCGTAGAGATCTGGTGTCAGCAGATTGTAGTCTGGTGTTGGGAGCCGTTTCTTACAGGGCTCCTGTAACAGGGGCCCATTGAGTCTGGGAGGCAGCTGGGGCCTGATGGGCTGGAGCTGGGTGGTGATCGATACTCACAGCCCCGCAACGGATGACCTCACTGTCATGGCTGCCGGCTGTGGACACTGCATGCTAGTCATTAGTGCCGGGGCACCAATCAGGAGCTTAGAGTTGTCAATACCTGACTCTAACAGATACTGTGGCCATCTGTCAGTGTATTGTGTAACAAATACAGGGAGGCTCTTATACACAATGAGAACAAGGTGTACTATTGAAGGAAAGTAACATACTTTCATTTTCAGAATTCACGAAAGCAGCGGGAGAAAAAGGATTTCAAATAGCTCAGGGTGAACTTTTTTCCATGTCATTAAAAATAATACAAATGTGAAAATGAATGGATTAAAAAGAATGAATGGGAACTGTCTCCCACTGTGGATGCAGCCGTCTTAATAATACAGCATTATCCTTATTTGCCCTCTTCACTCAAATCAAAGGGACGGACATTTATGCATGAGTGACATCAACCCTGCAATTAAGTTGGCCATTTGAATGAGAGAAGGCCTTCCTCACCTCGCCTGTTTGTTTTTTTTCCTCTCTCTCTCCTCTCTTTTTTTCCCTATTCCCCTCACTGTTTGATGATGGGAGAGGGTGAGCTAGAATTAGGGCGCTGGGTCTTCCTTTGAGTGTCAGCCTAAAATGATCAGAGTAAAGATAAGAGGGTCTAGCAGCCCTCAAATCAGTCAAAGTGCCAAAGTCGGCCTTTTTCTCCTCAATTACCGGGTCTGTGAAGCCAGGGAGTGGAAGGCGCCGAGCCTGCTGCATTACTAAAGAGACAATCTATTTCCCCTTTGACCAGAGGGAGAGAAATCATTATGGCATGATTAGTAGCTTCGGCAGTGGGCGAGCATGGAGGTACTACAGGAGAGTCGTATTAATTGCCTCAGACCGAGGCATGAGCGGGAATTGTTTTAACGTTGATTTGTGGACCAGTATGACTGGCTGTCGGAGATAAAAGCCGATGTCAGGTCTTAGTTATACTGGCAGACTTCGGGCAGAGAGAGAGAGGGTTGATGTCAAAATGAGCTTCCATAGCCGCCCTGGAAGTCTTTCTCTATATGCCTGTCGATGTCTTCCTCTTTGTCTTTCTTCACACTTCATAGTTTTCCTTTACGCCTCCCACTATCCCTCCCTCTGCTCCCCCCCCCCCCCCTCTCCCCTCAGATGGACTCCACCCCACCCCTTCCCACATGCACTCCCTTTCTCTCCCTCTCTCTCCTCCAACTGATAGCTGCCTCGGCCGATTATTTCATCCAGTGCGGTCCACTGAGAGCCTCCTCTCCCGGCTTTGGAAGAGCTTTAATTAGCCATGTTAATATCCCCTTCATTGGCCTTAATATCACTCAACACCTTCCTCCATCTCAGCGGCCACCAGGGTCCCCCTGTCCTGTCAGAACAGCTGATTATTGAGAAGGATAGCTTTAATCAAACCTAATTGCAGTTCATTCTTTCTCTCTATCCCCCTTTGCCCTCCATTGCCAACATCTAATGGCAGCGACGACTTGATATCCCATTAAAAAACAATTAAACAAGCTCCTTTTGTCTCCGTGCGTGCCAAAACACCAGCACAAACTTCTGTAGATATTTAAGAAGTAAAAGAGAGAGAGAGGGGCCTTGTCTTAATTGCTCTCCTTTTCACCAAGGACCAATTTGCGCTGCGCTCATGGAGAATCTTAACCAACTCAAATGTAATGGATGCTATAGCACTGCTTCTGCTGTGGACTATGAAAATTAAGCTTATCTTTTTAGCTGAGAAATTGTGCTTAATTGCCTTCATAACAGTAAACATAAAGGAGCTACTTTATGATAGCGTGGGCACTCCATTTCTTGTGTTTATTGTTTCTTAACTTTTGCTTTCGCCGGAGAAGAAACAGTATGTGAGAGCATTAAAGTATCCAAGAAAAGAGACTAGACTAACTCTGAAAGTAATGCGTTTATTTTATGAAGTCAACGCATTGCCTAGGAAATGTATTCTATCTCTCGGGCCGACATAAATTGTCTACCAACAGGGGGATGCACGCACATGCACACACACACACACACATATAGGTGTGCAGAAGTGTGAGCGCGCACTGCGAACTCACACACTGGCTTTACCCAATCTGTATGAGAGGCGACAGACAAATAAAAGTCGTATTTCAGGTCTGCTTTCCGCAGATGTCTGCTGCTCTACATTATGACTCTTTGGGGAAATAAAAACAGGGTCAGGGAATTAGAGTACATAATGGTCATTTTGATGATCAGCCAACAGATGCAACCCGAAAACACAGCGAACACAATCAAGCGAAATGCACTAATGACAAGTCAGGTTTTTTATGGCCTCGCCACACACCGACAGGCAATCAGCATTCTGGCATGGGTTAAAACGTCTTTTATTGATGTCCAAGCCAAAGCTCCTTGGATGTGGAGTGAAAATATTTTCTCACCTCTCCTCTCCCTCCAGGGCCCTCAGTAGAGCACAAGGTACAGGAGTCTATCGAAGAACGCTTCTAAATGACCAGTGCATGTGTTAATGTGGCCAGGGTTAGAAGGGTCATTTCAGACTCTGATTTATGGCCTGGCCGGGATCCCACTGGGCGAGCGAGAAGTCTTAAGTGTTGTGAAAGCGTCCTCGCAGGCCACACAAGCCACTGTATTTAGCTGAATGAAATGGCCGTGCAATCTATGGTGCAATCTATGGTAATCCGATGAGCCGCTGTGAATCTGTGAGCAGAGGTAGTATTACAATAGAAACCGCAGTATTGCATATAGTAATGCCAGTGCAATGTGATGAAAAAATAAATATCATGGTGCGGTATTTATAATGAATCAGAGAAAGCAAAGGCGCAATCAGTCATGATTCTGTGGGGAGAATTTGCAAAAACAACAAGTCAATTTCATTGTTTGTTCTGTGTGGTCCGAGATTTTACACAATGCACATTTGAGCCACTTTCTCTCCCTGGCCTCGTTGTTAGTCTTCCTCTCTTGTAGCTGTTTTACGTATTGGATGTTCTCAATACGGTGCTTTATCAATAAATTCTGAGAGATTCATCCCAGAGAAAACAAGAAATGAAGGCAGCTCACAAACTAACCAAGCCCAGATCTCACTCAGACGTGACATTTGTTCAGAGACGATTAGCCAGGTTGTAATTTGTGGCATAATTGCCTCACCCACCCACAAGTGCATGGGTGTGTGTATGCGTTATGCTTGTGCGTGTGTGTCTGTGTGTGTGTGTGTGTGGCATACTGTGGTCCCAGGAGTGTCCGCCTAATTGCCTGACAGGACTATAAGTTTTGTGGCGCGCTCTCACCTTGTTAGGTCCTTTATCCCTGATGCTCTTCAAACAAGACCTGGTCACAGGTGGGCCTCATTTGCTTCCCTATTGAACAGGAGAACTTTAATTGCACAGGGGGTGTCCTGGGATTAAAGAGGTGGGTGGAATATCAAGTGACTTCCTGTATGTTAGTGGCAGATGGGTGTTGGGAAAGACCTGTGAACTCAGGTGAGCGGAGGAGATGACAAAGAGAGTGATGCTCTTGATTTTGAGCCGATGATAAATACGATGACTTCCCAAACAAAGAACGCATCACACTCGTTTCTGACTGACTGGATGAATGGATCAGATGTGAGAGTGTTTGATAATCTCACTTTAAATATTCCACCACTTTGTCATTTATCTTCAAAGGTGTAATTTACCCCTTTTCTTCCGTTTTGTCTTCTTTTTCAGATTCTTCCTAAAGTTCTTTCTCAAGTGCAATCAGAACTGTCTGAAGAATGCAGGGAATCCGAGAGACATGCGCAGATTCCAGGTGACTGAAAATCTATTTTACACATTCGCTCTGTCTATTTCTGCCTCTCACTGTCTCTCTTTCTTTTTGCAGACACACACAGGTGTTACAAAAGCACAGCTACACCACACTAAGTCACATCGACAGACCCTCATATACGAACACGATTCTATTATTGGCACTGAAGGAGGCAAAAACGAGTGCAGAGAAGAAAAAAAAAAAAAAGAGAGAGTGAGGGATTTTGTGTCCTGTGCGCTCTGGACAGAATATTTATTAGGAAATACCATCTGACACAAATAAGGATAGAGGATTTAAGAGTGCCATCAATTGTGTTCCTGACAGCTTTCTGAGCCTCAGCGCAGAGGGGAGGACGATCCAACCACATGTAACAACAGTGTTAACTCAGGATCTGTCTGGCAGCGGAAACGCATACTTTCTTATACACACATATGCGCAGGCACGCACACACACACACACTCAACATTTGGATGCATGCCTGTAAATGCTAGGAGCGCATATATTTGCTTTCTCTACATCCCTCTCCTGTTCTTACCCACATATGCATACACTTAAACTCACACATATGCAGCTCTCTGTTTAGCCAATGAAAACCATCTTAAGCCATCTGAAAACCATCATTATTGCGGGCTGACAAAACGCTACAATTTACACTAAAAGGACATGACTGTTGAGCACTTTTTTCTACTGCTTCTTTAACCCCCTTGCTTCTAATGTGTCAGCTAGTTGAGCCTTGAAATTATTGACACCCCCCCCCTCCCCTCTCTAGCTGATCCATTTATCCAACCATCCATCCATTCTACCCCGACAGTTTCACCACAAGCAGCCCACTAGGTCAAGGTGAGAGAGTGAGAGTTTAGCGTGATTTGTCCTATCAAGATAGCGACAAACTGCAGGAGGGCAGCCGTCACTGACAGACCTGCACTGTGATAAGAAACACACAAACACACAGGCACTCACACACACGCCAGCATACTGCAGGAGGGAGCTCAGACATGAAACAGACAAGACAGGGTGTCCCCTCCTGATGTCACCACCATCAGACCTCCCCTGCCTCCTCAAATCTTCCCTTAGGGTGAATGTGGACTGATGCATGACAGCCACCGAGGGCTTTTCACCGCTCACTCCTGTGTGTCAAAGGAAATGCAAGAAATAAGTTGTAGCAAAAGTGGAAATGTACATAAAGTTGAAAACAACAAGATTTAGGATTTTTTATCGCTGCTGATCGTCCCTTGTCTGCAGTCCAACAGTTTTGCATGCCATTTTCCCCTTAAATAGATTTCCCAGATGCTCCCAGCATAGGTGTTTCTCTGGCTAAAGTTGTGTATTCGGCATGCCTTCCACTCCACTTATTACCCCCAAAAACCAGCTGGAGGCCAGAGAGGGCCCAATCCATCATCCTCAGCTTGGCCCAGCTCTGAACCTGCTCACAAGAATGGAGCTCTTTCACTTCCCCTCCACCCCCTTCCCAAACCAACCCAAAAAGAAAAAAAAAAAGCGCCCCCCTAAATTCCACTGCTACACCGAGGTCACTCACCGGCGAAGCAAACCTGAGAGGGGCTCTCTGTTTCCGGCTCAGAAACACTTTGGCCCATTCACACGCGGCTCACTGTTTGGAGATGTGGTTGCCGAAAAAACAACAACAAAAATAAGCATTATGAAATATGGAGTGTGGCCTGGAATCTGATCCTGGTAAAATGTTTGCTGAGTGATGGGATGGAGCACGGTTCAGTTGCTAATGACTCCAGTAATATTTTAAAAGGGAGGCCTTCCACCCTCAAAGAGACGGACAAGCTGATCAATAATTCTGAGCCAGGGCTATGATGACAGTCGGTGGAGTGAGCACGGAAATGGTATTTTAGTGATCGAAAAGTCAATTAGTTGTACACAAGTGCAAGATGCTAAAAAGCAAAAACAAAATGGCAGAGAAGCAGGGTAACTGTAATGTGATATATCTAAAGAGAACAATGGCTTCAGGAGGTTTGACAGTAGAAATCAATAGCAAACAGACATGTACCTGAAGACAACAGAATATCTAAAGCATTCATGTATCCCCTGTAATAAAAAAAGAAACGAGACAATGTGTCTTTAACTGCATCTCCCTGTTTATGCTTTTATTACTTTGTACTAAATTACATGTTTCCCCTTCAATCCTGTTGCAGGTTGTCGTATCGACGACCGTCAATGTGGACGGCCATGTCCTGGCTGTCTCCGACAACATGTTCGTACACAACAATTCCAAACATGGGCGAAGGGCTCGCAGACTCGACCCTTCAGAAGGTACGCCTCCTTATATGGAGAATGGTAGGCACATTTTTACATCTTATAATTTTCTACGCTCATTCCCCCCACCCCACCCATCCTCGTAGTTTCTTCTGGATCAGCCTCAATTTTTTTTTTTTTTTTTTAGAAATCACACACCTAGTTGCTTGTAGTTTTCTAAGCAGCTTCACATCCTCCACTATTTCCATTTTTCACTTTTTTAGTTGCTTTTTGCCTCACTCATACCTGTTGTTCCTTTGACTGGAAATAGTATACATCACTTAGTGGATGTAGGATTTCAGTATCACAACGAAGGATGATTTATACTCAGACTGAGCTATGAATTCTTTTTTTTTTTAAATGGTATACTACTTCCAGTCTCCTAATGCACCTACATTTGTTCTAAAAGCTGATGTGAAACATGATCAAATTGCTTAAGAATTTGGCTGTGAGGTCAATTTCCTGTCATTGGGTTCTGCAGATTTAGCTGTGAGAGAGCTGAAACAGGGGGAGGAAGGAGAAAGAGAGAGAAAGGAGGGGTGGAGGGAAGGGTGGGTTGATGGTGTGTGTGTGCGTGTGGAAGGAGGAGGGGGGGGGGAGTGGGGGGGGGTGGGTGGCCTATGAGAAAAACAGAACTTACTGTTTTTCTTCCAACTGATTCCATATGATAGACTGATTGCCTGCTCAGCCAAAAAGAGAGAAAAGAAGGACCACCAAACCATGGGAAATTTCAAAAAGTAAAACGCACTAAACATAACCTTCTGACCCTCGTGACCTCCGCTCGCAGATGGGCGCACACACAGCTGAAAGATTGTAAGGAAAGAAAAAAAAAAAAAGAACACAACCGACTTGGGCCAATTGTGTAAATTGCTTATCTTCAGATTTCAAGAGCCAATTATGGCTGGGCAAACAGTTTATATACACCACTGACTAAAACAAGCTTCTCTACACATTAATGGGCATTAATGGTTCTACCACCAAAAGCAAATGTAATGTTTAATACAACAACGTCTAATAAAAAAAGGACTAGACAATTAATATATCTCTGTGCTCTCCAGTCCTAGTGGGGGGAAAAGCTAATCTATTTGTTTTTGTCTTTATTAATGACTCCTCTACTGGAGAACAAAATCAAATAATTAAAGTCCTGCCCGGAGCACCAAAGTCATTATGTTCGCTGACGTTCTGTTTGTGTGTTTCACGTTTATGACACGATAGGTGTGGATCGCCTAGCAACCAGTTTCTTAATGAGGGGAGCAATTAAAGAGGTTGAGCCCTCGCCTCCATGTTCCCCAGCCCCCATGGGACCCTCTATGTTGTATATGTGTGTGTATGTATGTATGTATGTGTGTGTGTGTGTGTGTGTGTGTGTGTGTGTGTGTGTGTGTGTGTGTGCTTGTGTTCTTTACAGGTTGCCCCAACCCATCCTTTTTTTTTTCCTCTCTTCACCACACTCCTCAAAGCAGCAGAGTGACGCCCCGTAAAGCAAGAAAAAGAAGCTATTGTCAACCGCCCAGTTGAACATGTCTTTGTCTAATAACTTTAATACACCTTGTCTCCGCTTAGCCGCGTGTGCTCACACAAGTTGAGATCTATTTTTTTCCCCCTCCCCTCCCCTCCCCTCCCTCTCTCGCAGGCTCGGCTCCATAACAAACTAATTTAACATGCATCAACAGCGATCGCTCGCTTTGTTTGTCACCTTTAACAAACAGAGATGTGACACGTAAGATAAAGGGAAAGCAGGTCATACAATGTAATTCAAGCTACGTCCTCCATCGTGCTCTGACAACTAGCAGGCAGACAGACAGCGTGCTTTAAATTAGCAACACATTCTTCTTCTTTTTGAGTTCACTGGGCGAGAAGCCTCAGATATGTGAGTGAAACAGAGAGGCATCCCTCTGCACTTGCACCGACTGCCTTGCATTGATCAAGAGGTGCTGCCCCCTGTTGGCGCAGGCGTGGGATAGCCCATGGATGACAGACTGAATCTCACCATGTGACATTTTTGTTCACTTGTGTGTACTGTCACACAACAAGCATATTATGCATTCAGACACGATTGTGCTTTGTGGCTGCCTGTCACTCAAACATGTATGGATTCAGGCTCAAAGGTGCATAAACATGCTCACAAATAGCCCAGTCTTTCACACACACCCAGCAGCATCACCCCCCCCCCCCCTACACACACACATACAGACACACATGAACAGCGCAGAAATAACACACACACACGTTCCTCAGCTCAGTTCCACCATTATAGAGCCCCAGACAATATAGGAGACTCAGCATAGAGCCTGCAGCGCCTGCCTCATTTGCATGCCAAGTGGCTGTAATGCTGTTAGGGTTTATGCAATAAAGACAAGTGAATCCAGACTGCTGGGCCTAAGAGGAAGAAAAACGGAGAAAGAGAAGGAAAGGGGGAGAAAGAGGAGAGGAGGAAAAGAGAAAGAGTATGAGAGAGAGAGGTTAAGAGTGAGTGAGAGGCAGAAGGAGAGAGAGAGAGAGAGCGAGAGAGGGAGAGTCAAAGGGAACAGATGGCCCAGGGAGAGGTAAAAGGTATAATCCCATCAGCTGCACTATCAACCGACCATCTGGACATCCCACAGCACAATTACAACACATTTCAGCAGGCAGAACAAAGGACGGCTTCTCGGGGCCACATCAGACCTGTTTGAGTGTCACAATACTAGAGCTGGGACCTCCTCTGCTCAGATCTCGGATCAGTTTTGACGTCGTCCACGGCTAACCCTAAGCGGAGAGGGAAAAGATTTGGATGGATCACAGATCGGCTGCCAGGAGGTCATTTGACAGCGGACAAGTGGATGTTGAAATAAACTCAAACACACAAACTAAACAGATATGGCAACAATTCAGCTAAAACAAAATAGGGAAAAGACGAGCCATGACAAATGAATTCAAAGTTAAATTGCCCTCCGCTGTAGGCCAAAGTTTGCAAAGACTTAGTGATGCAACACTCTAAGCCGCAGGCCGACTCTTTGCATCCTCATCCGTCCACTCCTCATGATGCCGATCATCTGCTGAGGGGGGCATTGTGCATGTCTGTCATCAGATCGCCTGCGCTGACTGTGTAATCCACTTCGCCACGGTCCCCATTCAGCACATGCTCCCCTCTCTGTCTGTGCATTGAGACATATGCAAATTTTTTAGGCAGAAGGGTGGACGGCTTAGGGCCTCAGTCGCTACCTCTCCATGGGTCCTTCTGCGCGTGGGAGGGGGCGCTGGGATTTCCGAGGTGGTGCGTGTGTGTTTGTGTGAGTGTGTGTTTGTGTATGCCTGTCGTAGGTTTCAGGCTGCAGCTGCCCCCCAACAGTCCCCGTCACCATCAGGCCCTCTTCTTGCCTCGTCCTCCTCCTCCTCCTTCCTGGCCCCCCTCCTCTCTCTCTCTCTCTCTCTCTCTCTCGCTCTCTCGCTCTCTCTCATCCCCAAAGTCAATTTGTTTACAGTAATTTTGAAGGGTGAATTATTTGCTGTAATCGTCCGCACTGATGAAGGTCAGGCCCTTAGAGGGGGCCCAGCATGCCCATGGAGGGTTGGTCCTCTTTCAGACGCTCCGCTTCGCAATTAAGGAAAGCAAATGTCACTCCTCCAGGCCTCACAAATGAAAATCTGTACGAGGTGATTAGCATGAAGTCAACAGCGCCTGTTAAAGTCAGATTCCCTGTAGTACTGCTGTGTGTGTGTGTGCACTTTATGGGCAGCGAGAGAGAGCAAACATGACCTGAACAGACCCAACAGCAAAGCAAACAAAGGGAGATGTCTTGTCTGAGGTGATCCATACAACAATGGCCGCCTGTGATTTACTTACTGCAGGGAAAGGATAATAGAGGTGCAGAACTGAGCTTGTAGAGAAAAAAATGGAAGTTGCGGAAATAGTTGCTCACATTTTGAGGAGTAGGAAAAACATGCACGATTCATAGTGTATTAAAAGATATTGATGGAAATAGATTAAATTTGAAATCGCTACTTTATGGCTAGCTGTCATGCTATTTCTGTTGTAAACACGGTGTTGTGCTGAAAACCATATTAAGGTAATGCATCAAATGACAGTGAATGTGAGGCACCAGATCACTCAAATTAGATTATAATAACAACCCCGACTGTTGATGAATGGCAGAGCGACGTCGCAGAAGTCATGCCAGATGAAAAGCATTGTAATAAACAATATGAAATGGATTGAATCGATCACAAACAGGAAGAAAAAAAAAAAAAACACAATCTGAATAATTCATGAGTGCATTTTGCGTTATGAAACCTGATACTACACTCAGTGTGTCTGCACTGTACGGCATATGCAGAACAAACATCATGAAAGAACATGAACCAGCAAAGCTTTCGCTTGTCATTTCCACTTTAACATCCTGTATTCTTGACTCATTTAAGATGTGTTCAACTTTGAAATTTTTACTGTACATGCCGGCTGCATGCTTAATCAATTCTGATAGCTACATTTGCCCTGACACATAATTTGCTCCATCAAATCATTTTCCTGGCGAGCTCGGCGTTTAGCCTTTGTGAAGTGGACCATTTGAAGGGTCTGCTTAACTACACCACTCCGGCGCGCTGATAAATGATTTTGATTCTCATGCCTTAAAGGACAAATCCATCATTTTTTTTTTTTCTAGGGGGCAATTTCCATGATATGTCTTTGTGAGAGAGAGAGAGAGAGACATGCAGGGCTGAACATAGAGGTGATACAGTGATGTGTCTTTGCTGTGAAAAGAGACACAGGCTTGTTCTGTTGAAGCTTGGGTGCTGAATTTGCTCTTTCTCTTTGTCTTGGATAAGCAGCCACCCCGTGCATCAAGGCTATCAGCCCAAGTGAGGGATGGACCACTGGAGGAGCCACTGTCATCATCATAGGGGACAACTTCTTTGATGGCCTACAAGTCGTGTTCGGCACCATGCTCGTATGGAGTGAGGTGGGATGGAGATTCTTGCAGATTTGACATAAAAATTCTGTTTCAGTGTTAGAAATCTAGCCAATTAAATTTGTTCAATTACATCACAGTTTTGGTATCTGCTGATTGGATTGATTTGCGTTCTGATTTTGCATTTAAGGCCAATACTTATACTGGTACCAGTCCCAGTACAGTTACCACTATCTGTATACCGAGAAGTAGAATCTGTATCGGTATCAGTGTCAGACCTTTTTGGATTTATATAAATGGTATTACAATGAAGACATCTTTTTTTTTCTTCTTACTATTAAATCTTTGAAAAAAACTGTTTGGCAGCTTTGCATTCTTATGGGCTCATTATTTCTTTTCTTTTCCTGTGCTATGCAGCTGATAACGCCTCACGCCATCCGCGTCCAGACTCCACCTCGACACATCCCGGGTGTTGTGGAAGTCACGCTGTCCTACAAGTCCAAGCAGTTCTGCAAAGGTGCCCCGGGGAGATTTGTCTACACTGGTGAGTCAAAACTCTTCCTCTCCTTCCACAGGCTTCTCCTCTGACTCCCCTTCCCCACCTCCCCTCTCTCTGGATGGAGCCCTCAACCCCGAGTCCAGGCGCTAATAACAAACTAACCTGGGCCTTGCTGGCTGAATGTTAAAAATGTGTGAGACCTGCACTAGCTAGTGAAAAAGGTGTTTTCGTGGCGGGGGCACCTACGAGTGCAACTCGATCCCCCTCTGACCTGCCATCGTACAAGGGCGCTGCCAAGCTGTGTTAAAGTCAAGCTGTCGGGATAACTCATTCTGCCAGTTCTCTTTATGTCCACCCTGTTGTGAGACGGATAATGCTCTCTGCTAATTCGCTGATTTTGTCAGGCAGAATGTGGTTTCATTTTTTATGAATCAGATTTGAAAGGCAATATCCAGGTTAAGTGCACGAGCGTGTCTGAAGTTATTTCTTTTGTGATCTGTGAATTCAAAGGAGAGAAAGTGTGCAAAGACATAAGAGGGGTGTGAATGAGAGGGAGAGGGAGAGAGAAAGTGTGTTGTGTGTGACACTATAAGTAAGGGATCTGATTATCTTGGCTAACAGAAGGAAGTGGTGGTCTTATCTGTCATCATTGGTGAGGAGACAGAGGTTGCGGGGGTCAGAGCCTGTCTGACCTGGAAGCCTCTGTCTGTTCTAACTCTGATGGGCAGAATGAAACGAAGAGGGGGGCGTCAAAGCATCCCCCCCCCCTCCATATACACACAGCACCCAGAGGCCTCCAGCAGCACAGCTCTGGCCTTGAGCGCAGCAGAATTGCAAAGTGGGCCCCCCCCCCACCCCCCCACCACCCCTTCATCCAGACCCCTCGATCCTGGGGCAGCTGTTTCTCATCAACCCCCCCCCCCTTTTTCTCCCCCAAACCACCAACCCCACTACCACCCCCCCAGCCATCCGTCCCCTTCTCCTCCAACCGTGCAGTCTGGCCCAGCTCTCCTGCATTTAACCTCCCTAGCAGGAGCGGAGCAGAGGCCAACAAGGCACCAGGATAATGAAACAGGAGTGTAGTGTGTGGCTGCGTAAATGTGGATGTGTCTGTTTGTGAGAGAGAGACTGTGTGTGTGTGTGTGTGTGTGTGTGTGTGTGTGTGTGCGTGTGTGTGTACATGTGTTACTGCACAGCCCCGAGAAGGTGTATAAGTTAAGACATTAATGGCTTCTATAGCACCCTGGTGAAAGTGCCAGGTCCCTTAAGAACAGACCCCATTAGTCACAGAGGCTAAGCGGATTGGGATGATTACCATCAGGTTTTACTGGGGAAACGTGTCCCCCTCTCTCTATCTTTGTTGATTTCCTCCCCCCTATTCTTCCTCTCTGTCTTCCCTTGGTTCCTACTCACTTCCAGTTAGTATAAAGATACAATTACCCCTAGAGGCAACGGTGGTACAATTGATTAGTGCGCTGAATTAAAAGAGAAAGTCACCAATAGACAGGTCCGGCTCCTCTCGCTTGGCTATTCCCCGTGTGGCTCACCCTGATTGTACGAGGGGTTGACGCTCGAGAGAATGAAACCGTTAAAGAGAGGAGAATGCATAACGGCAGAATGAAGTATCACTGGCTCCATATGTACAGTAATTGCCAGGTGAAAGGATGTTAGCTACTTCTCTAAGACATTAAAAAGCGAATGGGGCTGATTCATTGAGTGCAGGAGAGTGGATCATGTATTTAATAGTGGAAGAGTTCATTCCAAATCGTGGCTTTCTCTTCCACTTGTAAAAAAAATTGCACTACACGAGCAAATAGGTTTGAAATGACCTGGAGTTACAATAGCTATTACACTCGCTGAAAAGAAGGGGGCACGTAGTGACACAGTGCTGTCTAAGTGGCGCAGCGTATTCCGGTGTCATATTGGAGAGCAACATGTGAATATCAAAGGTCTAGTTATCAAAGCGAGTGGCTTCAAGCGTGACTTGATAGCGCGGCTTGAGAGGAGTGCCTTTTTAGACTTTTTCATGTTGACTCTTCTTGCACCACCACCCTAATTGTGGAGATTTAACTCGCTCCATTTAAGAAATTATCACAAATTACCAAGAGTCAACACAGAGGAGACTGCAGCCAAGTCGAACAGCAGAGGGGACACGTCCTCACTCGGGTTAGCACCCTGGAACCGCTCCAAAACTCACAATCCATTCTCAGAGAGAGAGAGAGAGCACCCTGTAGTAGATGTCAAATAATCCTGTTGGCATTGACTATTGAATGTTTAAAACACTAATGAGACAAACAGACATACTATATAAAACTTTAGTGGTCTGTATTTCCTTACTGCCTCAAGGAGCGTATATCTGTGTTTTAATTGGCACATTTTTAAAGGACTGACATATTGCTTATTTCCGCTTTTTACAGTCTATGCCTTTTACCTTCTAACAAAATGTTGTCCCTTGGAGCTGGCCGGCTTGTCCTCCGCATAATCCATGTATCGGTTATCCATTGGTCCGACTGTCAGCAAGGTTGTAGAAAATCAAAAGGAGAAAGTCCTGGGCTGTACCTGAGGTCAATACTTTATTATACTTTCTACTTTATTAAGCACTGCAAACAGAACATTCTAGTTTAATCAGATATTTCTTACACAGAAGAAAAAAAAAAAATCTCAATTTTCAGCCTCATTTGCAGCACCTTAACCTTTTTACTGCATGGTTGCAGCACTGTATAAAAGAGTAAATCATAAATAAAAACTTTGAGCATACAGTTTATCCAATTTAAGCTCCTAATTGCATCAGAGCTTTTGCTTTTCTATCTTGGCCAAGTTTCCATGAGAGCTCCCCTCCAGGGGCAGCCATGCAGGCCCTTGGTAATACGGTTCTGCAAGCAGTCCTAACACACTCAGCCACTATTTATCCTAATCAGTGACATCCACATAACCAGGATTGCTTAAAATGAACCCCTTCCGCGCCCCAGAAAACGCACATTTACCGGGACCCCATTTGTCATGGGTAAATTGAGGGTCAGTAAACTTCGCCTGTATCCTCCAGTGGGGATCCAGGACATGCATCATAACGTTAGGAGAGAATGATTGGCGAAGGCGAGCTGTCACACATTTGTCAGGGGGAAGGGAACATTATTTGCTAATTTCCCAAGCTGGGCACTGACAGGGTGCTTCGTCTTCAGACCTTTGGTGACCGGCATGGCTTCACAGCTATTAGTACAAGTCAAGTGTTTTTTTTCCCCTCCCCCCCGCCCCCCCTCCTTACTGTAAAGCGGCAGTAATAAGAGCCATCCGTTCGACCTCACAAGATCGCAGCACACTGGGTGAAGGATTTTGGACCGAGTGGATGCCCCATACAGTGAAGCTGCTCTTGCCAGGCTTTAGTTGAGGGCCAGACAGCCTTGAGGGCTGATGGATCACAAACTTTCCTCGTCAAGGTGACGCTATCGACTCCACTGCACCAAAATCTGACAAAATGGGTATGAGGCAGTCATTCATCAACATAAGGACAAAGGGGTCATGTGGGCTTCACTCAATACTGGTGGAGATCAAGAAATGTCAGGCCTGTAAGGGCTGGAAAGGAAGATGTTCATGATGTTGAAGAAGGGTGTCTTTTTAGTTAAAGCTTTATAAACCTACATCATTTATACGTCTTTACATGCATGTAGAATAGAAGCCAATACCAGCAGAGGTATAAATAGTGATATCCCCTCCCCTCTTCCGGCTCCACTCCTCGAAAGAGGAACATAATGTCATGCAGTCTCAACCCTCCCCGCTTAAATATTTAACAAAAATAAACAAGCACAGACGTCTTTATCTGTCCACATCAGACCGGGCCCTGTGCTGTTCAGCTAGTGACTCAGGTCTATCCTTACGTCTCTTTCCCTCCACCCATGCCGAAACTTTGAAGTCGCAGACTCAGAAGTTGATCAGATGGAGCGCTTCCTTTTCATTTCCTGTCCTTCAGGGTTGGGTTTGGCATTCGGTTGGTCAGCGATGAGGTGTGGCCTACAGCAAAGATATGCTATAATCAAAGGCATTCAGGGAGGTATGTAAACAGATTGTATTTGGAGGATGACTCCAAAGTTGTAATTGTTTTTCATTTTCATTCGTTTTCTTTTTTGATTTATTTTAACTAGTTTTTAAAGCTGTTTTGCTTGTTTATTTTTTTTATGTTTTTGAAAACAGCTAAGTTTCAGTTTAGTTTTTATTTGTTTTATTGTAGGTTTTTTTTTTGTAATGTGAAAAACCTGTCAGGCGCGGGACCTGAAAGGGCGTAATAAAAAACCTAAAACTTCTTCTAAAAAGTTTTGCCTGTGTCATTGGACAGAACAAAATCTGCTGGACACAACAACAGAAATACAGTCATTGAGAAACCACAACTAAAGACACTTTCTCTTTAATTGTATTGTTTTAAGTTTTCTAAACACACATTGCAGTTTCAGTTTGTTATCAGCCTTTTAGTTTCTGAAACTTTTTTTTGACTTTGCTAGTTTCTGTTGATGAAAATATCCTCGCTTGGAAACGAATGCTCGACAAAAATACTTTTAATTCACAACGTCTGAATCTACTTCAAGGGGAAAATGTTTTTTCAAAGTCAGGACTATTCTTAATTTTTTCTGCTGATTTCAAAGAAAAAGATCCCTCTGAAGTACGAACTGCTGCGAGTTAGGATGAATCAGGCATTTATAAATGTCATCGCCACAGTCAAGTGGGCTGTAACCAGTTGGCACAACAGTTTTAGCATGTGTCAAGGCGTGTTATCCACTCGCCATATCCCCATACCTGCCTGTCTCATTACAACCCTGGTATTTAGCACTAGCTCCGCAGGAACCGTAGCCGACACTGGTTGCCAAGTTAGACGGGCCCAGTTTGAAGGCCTTGTGAGCTTTATGTGGAGCGCGACAAGGTTCCACGGAGGAAGGTCCTTGTGTCCAATTAGAGGGCTGACGTGACACGTGCTCGCACTCCCCCACTGTCAGGCAGCTTGTCAGGTAGGCTTTGAGAGGCACACTGTGGCATTATTCCACAGCGTGTTATCAGCAAGT